AGGGAGAAATAACGGTAAATAGTTCATTTTCTAGTATTCTCAATAGGCGACCTGGGGGAACGGCTGTGGAAGTAATGGTAGCATAAAACCCATTAAACTAGGTAAAATTTAAATCTGTAGACGCTGGAGATGGAACTTTTGGTACTTTTGCAGACTTACATAGACGTCGAAAGGAGAAATAATCGAAAGAAGGAGCGGGTCCTTCAATTCTTCAAGCACATTTGAATTTGAAAATAACTTGTAGAACCGCGCGATGGATGGTGAGCGCCGACTCCAAAAGCTAAATTTCAGGTTATATTTCTGCTATTATGACTTAAAATATTTTAAATTTTAACATCAAGAATAAGATAGATTAATCGATGCGTGTTTCTATTTTATCAAAGCCGAAGATGACTGGACCCATTTCTATATGATCCTTTTATGATTCCCGCACCCTTGATAAATTTAGTTGCCACAGTAAGTACTCGGATCAACCTGCCATTTCTTCCCAGCGGCCCTGATCTAGTGATCTTTTCAAGTAATCAAGTAATTGTTCATGAATGATTGATGATATCCCACTATAGTGAGTCCTAGATACTATTTCTCGTAAATCAGATTCAGCAACTTTCCACCAGAAAATCATCCTTTCCCTCAAAACGATGATGTGTGTCGGGGATCTCAATCGGTGGGAATGAATCTGCTATTCCACTTTCTACTAAAATTTTGCTAGCAGCTAGGCAGCCTACCTCCTCAGGAGTTGATGTGTGTTTTCTCAGTGTATCATGTAACTGGTGCCTAAAGCCTGTATGTCTTCGTAGACTTGTGATGCTTTATATTGGAAAACCGGTTAACGCAAACGCATTCACCCGTTAGTCTTGGTTATGTGTCCACTTAAAGGAGCTACGCTTCACTGAAACGAATCCTTTTCAATGAAATCAACTCAATGTCACAAAATCAAAGATACTTGACTTCAAGCATTAGCTTTAATTTGATTACTATCAAGTCTTTTTGATTCTGGGTCAGAAGTTGATTGAGTCATCAAAGCCTGTGTTTGGATTTGGACAAAATTCTTCAAATCAAGGTCTTTCATTTTGACCTGTGCAGAAGGTATGTATCTATATGCTACTATTTCATTGGTTTGATAAAATAGAGATGCTATAACTAATGCAGGATATCCTTGGTGATAACCTCTCTATACATCGGCTAAAATTTGCAGTACCTGGAGACGTAAACTTGCCGTCACTGCTTACCACATATAGGAGATAATACAGAGCAGCTGTTCGACATAATACATCAGTGCCGCCTGACCTCTAGATTATCTGAGTCCTCGCCTGACAAATTTACCCACTATGAGAGTGCGACAGAAAATTAGCTGGTTCATTTAGCACGGAAAATGGATACAGGAATTAATTCTCTGGCACACCCTGAAAGTGAGTTAAAACTCATTAGATGTGGACTTTGGATAGCCAGAACTGGCAGAATAATGAAAGCTATCGATTGAGACTGAGGCGACTAAAAATATTAGTTGTGATAAATATTTTTGGCTGCAACAGCATATCAACAGAGAATCTTCTTTGACGGAAAGTGGGCATTGAATGCTCGAGTTGAGAAATCTCTCATAAATACCTGCTTACTTTACCTGCCACTGTATTGATGTGAGAGTTACCTTAATCGGATGGTTGCAGAATCTCCCTGGCAATTCCCAGCATAGATATGATGGTGCTCCACATAATTAACTTACCGGCAGAATCATTCGTTCGATAGAATCGTATGAGAGGGATCACATAGCATATGATATAAAATTAAGCCTTGAATATAGGTGATATTTTTACTTTAACCTTTGGTTCTCGGTCTACGGTATGAAAGGGACGGACTAATACAGAAGAACCATACATGACAAGTGGCTCCTAAATTGTCACTCTCCGTTTTACCCTGATAACGCGTTTAAACTCAATCGCAGCCGACTCTGCATGACCAGAATTGGCAGATACAGACTCATAAAAATGAAATGTTATTGAAAGGAAAACCAAAAATTAAAGTGGTATTCTCTGTTGTACCCTGATAACGCACTGAAACTCAATCGCTGTTGACTCTGTATGACCAGCATTGGCAGATAAAGGCTCCTGAAAATGAAATGTTATCAAACTGTTTCATTATAGTTCAGAAGATTCATGCTATTGAGATCGAAATTTCAGTTGTGGTAACTGTAATTTTTGCTTGCGGAAGCATCAACTTTTACTGTTTATCTTTTCCAATGACGAGTGAACTGGTCACATTTCTCAAGATACAGAATGCCATAGCTTTAGAGACATCTCTCATAAAACTAAAAATATTGATAAATACTTACTTTGCTTACTGTCTTTATGAGACGGTATCACGCGTTTGCAATGTTATTACTGATGATGAAATTGGAGCTCGGAGAAATTGCGATTCGAATGGTCAAAGGACCTGGCAGGCATAACTAGGTATAAGCAGCGTAAATGATAGAGGTCCTGCACTGAGCTGCAGAATTTAGCTTGCATTCTATCATTAGTTCCAAGAATCAAAAAAAAAAAATGTTGGATAATGTAAGACATAAAAGGTATCCCTTAACACAGGTGATGC